TGAGGATGGTAAAAGGGGCAGAGGATGGTGGATATATACCCAGCAGCATCCACAGTGCTGAAAACCACCGTGGTACATTTCGCGGGACTCCCATGAGAGAGAAAACAAGAGAAAAAGAGAGGAAAGGGGGAGAGAAGGCGCGAGAGCTGGTGGCCTCTACGAAATTAAAACAAAAAGCGTGGGGAAACACATCGTGTCGCTCGGAACGGACTAGTACACACGCCGTCGCTGCTACTCTCGTCTTCTCTCCTTCCTGCTTGCATTCGCGTCTCTTTACTCTCTAGTCGCACAACCGCACTTCTCTCCATCCGTCCTGCACGCCAACTTGTCCCTTTTTTTTTTTCCACTGGGCGGAGTCATTTTTATTTCTTTTTGTCGTTTATTACGCGTCGGCGTACACGTTCGACGCTGGGAATTACGCGACGACATATTCCGGAATACTTTGCCGTGCGAAGACGACTCGTTTGCGTCGTGCGTTGCGTTTTAAGAGTCATCCAGCCGGCGGAAATGGGCGCAACTCTCTTCAAAAATGGAAAGTCGGGTTTCCCGTGTATTAAAAATCGGTCTATCTCGCCGGACAACCACCATTTATCCGGCCTTGAACTCGAAATTTATCCGCTACCTCGCCGCTGTAGGACCCGTTCTTTTCCTACTTCTTTCTCTCTTTCTCTCTCTCTCTCAGTGACACGAAGCCGCAGGGATAATGCATCCGGCGCGATAAGTAACCGTGGATCTCGATAGTAATAAGTTCTCCTAACACCGTGAACAAAGTCGAGCCAACTGTCCGAAAGTAGATTGTCCCGTATTTGTACCCGTGGACGAGTCTCATCTTTTCCATTCGTCGCCGGTCTTCTATCCCACGGAATTTCGTCGAGTACTGCGTTTGATACGCTCTTTGTCGGCAGGAACGTGCGAGCGTGTCATTTAATTAGAAACCCTTTCAGTCTTCTCGCCTCCCGATGAAAAACAAACCCCTGAAAAAAGAAGGGAAAAAAGAAGAATGAAAAAGGAAAAAGAAAAGGCGGTAGGGAACGACGCACACGGCGGCATAGAGACGCCTATGCAATTACCCCGACAGAGCGCTTTAAATTTTCTCCAAATTACTGGGCCGTGTTTCACGTCGTACGCGCATCCAAACTCTCCCTCGGTTTCCCTCTCCCTTACCCTTATTTTTCCCTTAGGCTCAACCTGCTTTCTCTCTCTCTCTCTCTCTCTCTCTCTCTCTCACTCTATCTTCTTCTTTTTCTCTTTTCCTCTCGCTCGCACACGCAAACCCGCACACCCCTTCCTCTCCTTTTCTCTTTGGACTATCCCTTTCCAGCCGCCTTTGAAATAAAAGTCGATCGAGTGAGCACAAGGGCAAGCAGCCGGGCACTTCGTTCATCGCTCGTAGATTTATCGTTTCGTTCTCTTTCAGTGGTTCCCGGTGAATCGCTGCCCTCGAAGAATACGACCAGCCACCACGATGTAGAAATCGGAAAGCTAGTGCAAAAGAGATGGTAAAAGGGAAACATGGGGCAAGGGAAACTCGAGCATAACGACCGCGCAGCAAGCGCGTTCTAAAACCTGCACAGGCGTGTATAGAGGTAATGGAAAAGGACACTACGGTGTGTACCCTAGCGACTCCAGTCGTCGAAGGGTGGCCGTGATTAATGATAAGACGCTGCGATTCGAATTTCGTGGTAATAGGATAGCCTGGATATTTTAAGGATAACCCAGGAGACACGCTCCTGGATATCTTATCTGACGCAGGCGCCCGCGCGCCGCCCCACCCAGTTGCAGGAATCGTCACCAACACCATCGTGATCCCGTGATAGCGTTCAGGGAACACGAAAGCAACGATTCGTCTACGTGCACGAGAGTGCACGTGGTCACCGTTGCCGAATGAATTTTATTAAGCCTGGTGGAGGCGTAAAACCGTATAACGTGGCCGCATTACTGCCACGATAATTCACCAAATTGTATGCCGCGAGCCTTCGTTACATGCCATTTTCCGAATCTAGAAAATCTCGCTGGAAAAACTGGCCTATGAAATTTACCATTCGATCGATCTGCCTTTTGCGACAAACAGGCGTCGCGAAAATTCCCTCTAGCGCGAAATTATTCCTACTTCAAAAGCACCCATTCAAATCTCGATACCAACAGCATCTTTCACTCGCACATGCACCCATACGAGCAGGCGTTTTAATAATTCTAAAATACGAGGAAAGAGAGAACACTATCGCGACTCGTTCTAACTTGATATTTATTAATATTGTAATTTCCTACCCAGCATGGACATAGCAAAGTAACGAGAAACCTTCCATATATCTGAAGCGGCCGTATATTTGTCGGATAATCGTGAAGCAACGTGAAGCACAAAATGCTAAAGCGACGAGTAAAAATCAGGCGATAAAGGGGCAAAAAAGGGGAACCCCGAGTATAGGTACCTACCGGAATACTTTTTAAAACGCTGCCGCTTATACGGATTTTCTCCTTCAACTGGCGTACGCTGGACTACCCTGTAATGTCTCGTTCCCCTCTTCTATTTGATGGCAATTGCTCTTTTCTTTCTCCTGTTCCCGACTTGTTTAACCGAATCAACTAGCGGCTGCCAAATGTTTATTCCCTGCCAATCAGAAAGCAAACGTAGCGTGATTAATAAAAAAATCTAAACGTACCTCTGGAGCATATCGAATGATAGAGATCCGTTCTTTTTCGTGCGATTAACAACTTGAATAAAAGACTAAATCGTAAAATTATCGCGTATCGCAAACTGCTAGAAATATAAAGGTATAAAAAATATGAAACGTTTGAATATTTTAATTAGCAGTTTGCTTTAGAAATAGAATGCGAATAAAGCGTTTGAAATACCAGCTACTGTATAAGATACCTCGTAACGTATATTCCAACATTGGAGCGTAATCAGTACTACACTCGCATTTCCTCTTCTCATATTTTGCATTTACAACGAGTGGGCAGTAGAGAGGTAGAGTATGAAAAATACGGTGAAAATCGATAACGAGAGTCCGCAAGCTTAAATTTTCTCCGTAGGCCAGCTCGCACGATGACCAAATGAAAATAACACTTTGATTCTAGTAATTATGATAACTCGATCATAATCTTCAGTGCCTCGGAGCAAGTATGCACGAAGAAACTTTGCAAACTTATTACCAAGTGACCTAAAGCTGGAGTAGCTTAAGACAGATTTATCATTTCGGTGTGTGGTTTAATTAGAAATTCTAACAAGCTTCAGCAACAAATATGGCGTATTTCGAAAGTTCCGATGTACCGTTTGCGTGAAACTAAACCGCGAGCTTTTGGTTAAGAGATTCATTCGTGATTCTACCATCCCTTATTTATGAATGTCGGGAAAACAATGGCGAGGTATAGAGAAAATTTACATATAAATTCAGATAGCAAGGCACACGATACCTCTTGTCCTTAATCGACACGGATAGCAGAACGAAACACAGCCGACGACGTAAGTTCTAATCGTACCGCCCTTCTGGAACAACGATGTGCTTCTTTCATCTTTTATCGTATAAAAATATCTGGGATAACGTTCACTGTCCAAAGTGGTTATATCTGCAGGGTATTATTTTTAGTTTGCAGTCAGCTACGTAAGATCATTTGTATTTGTTATGTTCATACTACTTGACGCGAATATTTCGTTAAAAGAAATACCTGTACTTTACAAAAATCCAAGACATTTCCTCGTCCTCGCTATAGTTCAAGAATTAAATTAAGTACTGCGACGTTTCCTGAGCTGCTCCATTTGTTATCGGTTATTATTTCAAAAAACGCAACTAACCTCTCGCCTCCGAGAAACAAAAGCAATGACAGAAGTTTCTTTTATCTAAAAACAGACAACGAGTAAAATCCGTGTTACATTAAAAGGCAAAAAATTACGTAATTAAAAATTCAATCAACAGCTGATAATATCGGTCGTATGTTTAACTCCATGCTCGAACGTTCGAATAAGAGTAAATCTATACCGATGTTTTCCATACCACGATAAAAGAAAGATTATACCGGCTTCGTAAATCTCATTATTTCTCTTTACGCAACTCATAATTAAGAGGAAAGAAGTAAGAATTCCTTTCGAATCTGATACTCATCGTCTTTACGCTACGTCGTTTATTACTTTAACGATCTAAATTATACTTGATATTATTGTTAGAACGAATCTCGAGTTCCCTCGTTAACATATCACGGTTAGATACGGAATAAATGAACTGTGACTTTTATAAACCTACCTCAATTTTATTCGAGATAAATGTAGTATGGAACTAACTTGAGTTTCATTGCATCCCAACATTCTGATCAAACTAGTATTCCTTGATCCTGATTATTTTTGGTTTCAAACAAACGTATACGACATTCTAGAAATTTATTGACGCCATTTTCCTACCAGATCTTTGATAATCATACCAAAACTACAACAATTACTTTTTTCCTAACCAATCATCTAGCTAAGCTCGATTTAGATAACGATTTTAAATATTTCATCCTTTCCTCTGATACGCCAAACGCAAAACAATAAATCGCGAATAAATGGAATAATCGTAATTAACCTCATTCTTTGAAATGTAAAATTCTAGAAGCAATCAATGTTTTGAAATATGATAATACAAAATAAACTCTATACAAATAAGATATAAGATATAAATTAGAGTATTTAAGCACAAACGTATTATATTTCGCTGTAAAAGAATATTAAATATATTATGAAATAACTACAAATTATCTTAATTCGATACATATTTAATAAAAAAAAAAAATAATCACCTAGTAAGACGAAAATTGCTCATTTTTCGTACGACACAATCTCTGTATGATTCTAAAATATATTATTTCATAGTTCAATTTCAGTATAGTAATTGATCTTCCTGTTATCACAATAATTGCACGATATCTTTCTTCAGTCTTCAACGTAATATACAATTCCATATTCGCGCCTTCCTAACCTGCACTTGTTGCGTTCTCTCACCTACAGAGATCGCTGTAATATGCATTGATATATCATTTAGTATACAACAATAAATAAAACATAAATGAAACAATTATATAAATACAAGTACTAATTTTTCTTACAAAATGGTTAAAAGTATTACAAAAATCCGTGATATTTCGTGGAGATTTGGTGGTATGAATTTAACCTCTAAACAAATTGTTCTAAAAATTTTTAATCCTATTTATTAGAAACTCTTATTACATTAGATAAAATATTTTAATTATTTTTTAGATTATTTTTCTTTTCTTGTTAAATAAAAGTTTTAATATTTCATTTTTGTAACTGATATTAAAAAAAAATGATAACCTAATAGAATAATAAATAGCATAAAGAATTATTTTTTCACATATTTACATACACATGTAGTTATAAAATATCTCCTTATAAAATAATATAGGATTGAATAAATAAATTTTTACAGTAACTGCAGCAAGTAATGAATCTGACAACATGGGAAAATCATTTCTGCAACTAAAATTAAGTTTAGAAGAAAATGGCAAAACTAGAAATGTTTTTGTAGAAATGACAATAAGTGAATTTTATAAATTTCTACATGATCTAGAAAAAGCAAATTGTAATCTCGATTTGTTACTTTGAAAACCACTTAAAATATTTGATTTGAAATGACTTTAATGTTTTAATAATATATAATTTGTTTCATATATTTTTATAGTAATAATGTATGTATTTTGAAAAATACATGAAAGATAAATTTTAGTCGTACATTACTATTAATAAACATCTACTGATTTGACTAGTTTACATAAAAATTAAGAACTTAGGATATTAAAATAATAATGGAAATACAAAGTTATGTCTTACTATATTGTTATTACTTAAATGTAAATAAAAATACTGGTATATAAATAATTTCAATTTATTAAATACTATACCTTTAGAGATTATTTTCCATAAACTTAAAAATATACAATTATTTGGTGCCTCCGTATCTCTAATCAAGTATCTACATATATTACAATCCAAAAGTACAATAAGATATAAAACTTCTTTGTTAAATAATAAGAGGAGTATTTTCAATTTTATCACTTTTTAAAATATCGTTTAATCATTTACATAGATACTGTTTCGATGAATCTGACACCTGAAAATAATATAAATATATTATTATTTATAGAAATATTAAAAAATTAAAAACCTTAAGTAATGGATAATTCAAAAAATCTCTAACATTAGAACCATAAATAGAAAACTGGGAACTTTTATTTATTTTTTAATAGTGAATGTACAATGCTTAATTTCATAACTTTTTATCCTATTAACAATCTTTTTTTATCACAATGAGATGTGTACAACATTAATTACATATGTAATTTTTCAGATATAATTACTTATGTTTCTAATATAAAAATAAATTTATATAATATTTATAATTACTTAATTGTACATAATATTTACATATTTAAATTTACTTTCTTTTTTATAATTTTTATTAAATAGATAAATATAAAATTAAAAGACCTCTAAGAAAATAACAGAAACAAGAAGCTCGTCAAATTAATACTGCATTTAAAATACTATTGAAAAAGCGTCAATTACGTGCAGCAAAATGTAATAAATCGTTTTAAAATATATATTTCAAATTGAGATTGAATGCAGTCAGATCATTTCGAAATTTTAAGTATAAAGCAAAGAATATAAAATCTTTCATAATTCCCGCATTTGAATACATAAATTTGTAAGAAAAAGATGGTATTTTACAACTCTCATTGTCCTACGTTTTGTGGGAGGAGGACTGACTATAGCACCTCTTTGATTATAAGGTTCTGCTAATGCTAATGCAGGATTTTTTATATTTGTTGAACATTCGTGTAGCCTCTGTGTAGAGAGCTCTTGTAAAGACTTGCTTCTTTCTGCTTTTTGTTGAATAGATTCTAACACTGGTACAATAGCTCCAAGTAATGGTCGTTTAGATGGTTCCCCAGACCAACATTGTTCCATTAATTTCCAACATTCATCATCAAAGGAAGGTAATCTTTCTGGACGTGTACCTAATGATTTTTAAAATAATGTTTAGAAAAAAGGTATACAAAAGTAAATAAACATTTTAAAACTTTTAATATTACCTTTTTTTACACTAGTCCATAATAACTCTTTATCATAGAACTTTTCAAAAGCATATGGTAATCTCACATGTCCTGCACATATATACCAAAATAAAATTCCAAATGCATATACGTCAACGCTACTATCATAATGACCAGAGAATAGCTCTGGTGCCATATGAACAGGTGTTCCAACAATGCTTCCTAGCATCATAACTTCTGTGATACAAAATCCAAAATCAGTTAATTTCGCTCTATTTTCGGTATCGAGAAGAACATTTTTCAACTTAATATCTCGATGTACAAGTCCTTGAGAATGAAGGTAACGTATCCCTTCTAACACATCTAATGCTATTTGTACACGTTCTAGCCAAGACAGACCAGCACGTATTCCACAATATAAATCACGACTTAAACGATCTGATATTAAAAGAACTGCAGACCCTAGACCAAAGCCTCCACCATAAGAGTGATCAATAACTGATCCTCGAAGTTTCAGTATCCTTTTATGATCAGGAATGGATCTGCTGTAATAAAACTCCATAGCCAAATCATTCCAATGGCTTTCATCTGATGGAACAACAGATTTAACTGCACACGGACCAGATTTACCACCCCAACCATCACAAGCAAATACAATTCCATACTGGCCACGGCCAATTTCTTCACTACAATGAGGAATTCCATAACGTACAACATCTATCATTGATGTTGATTCTAACGCTAATTTAGCTAATTTAGGAGTATGATATTTTCTAATAGCTATTCTTTGTTCTTCTGTTCTTTCCAACTTCCCAGAATAATAGTTTTCTATAGATCTAAGTGCTGCTTGGAATGAATCATGTGAAGATTCAAGTTTATTTCCAAATTGTATTAATATTATTTTGGCCAGTTTTGATGCTGATAAGGAATTAAGTATTTCAATCGTCACCTTTCTTCTCCAAGCTACATCTAAAGTGTGAGTTGATGACCATTGCAATGACGAAGACATAAATATTAGATTAAATCTTTCTAAAAACGAATATATCGAAAATGGTGACGAATTATGTAACTCGATGTTATATGCAGCCGAAAGTATTTGTTTCAAAGCATCGCTGGCTAATAAACAAGTATCACGTTCGTATGTTTTTTCAAGGCTTAATAAACAACGTTGCAATGTACCAACAAAGCTTTCACGTAAACAATTGACAGAATCTACAAGTTGCTTTGCTACTTTTTCTCCTAAACGACCAAGTACTATTCTCTGAACTTCAGAAATTGCAGCTCTAACAGTTGCAGACCATTCTGTCCTTTCAGTATTGTTAAAAGGGATGCTTTGATACAAATTTACACTATTTTTATGTGATAACACCTCATTTTTCATTTCTTGAATGATATTTTGTATTAATTCAGTCAGTTCTTGTTGTTTTTCATTAACAATTTTCATTAAATTAGCATAGAGTTCATTTTCTCTCTGTTGAGCATATTGTATTCTTTTAGGAGTTATTTGAATCATACGTACCATATCAAAGGCACTTAAAACAAACTTTCTTAGACTCGTTGTATGTACTTCATTTAAGTAAGTACTAGCATTAATAAGATAAGTTTGCAAACATCCACGGATAAAATATATAATCCGATCTGTTTTTTTGCATGAATCCACTAAGTCACTAGAGTTAACATAGTGTCCACTACCAAGCCAAGATAGTTGATCAACTTCAACAGACTCTTTCATTCCAAGGAAACCTAAGTTTGTTAGCTGATCCAACCATGTTAAACCAAGTGAATTCATTCTGTCAAAATCAATATCATCATCATGAGTTCTATTTGTGGAATCATTAAAATGTAGACAATTTTGAAGTCTATGTTGTTCAGATTCAGTCAATTCAGGATCAATGCCAGTCAATGAGATATTCTCCAAAGATGATATAAAAAGTACAGGATTAAAAGGATAAGTTTCCTTTAAATCTCTTAATTCTTCCAAATTTTGTTCTGTCAAAGGTTGTTCACCAAGAGCATATAAAAATATTGGTAAAATAGATAATACCTCTGTCTCAAGAATTTTTATTGCCCCATTATTGGGAGCAATAAATATTTGAACACCATCTTTCAGTATTGGCTGATTGAGTTGGACTTCAAGCACCGTTGGACAAGTTATATCTTCATTACAAGATTTTGTTAAATCTTCAATTGGAAGTGTACTCCAAGGTTTCTCATTTGCTCGCAAATTTTCAACTACTTCATATTCTAAACCTAAGGTAAGACTAATATGGTTTGTTTGACCATATGTAAGTCTAATCCATCGCCATAAACCATTACATACTGGTAAAATATTGGTAGATATTAAAGTATTAACGACTGTTGCCTTTGCCTTATTATCTTGCCCAAGAACTATAATAGCTGGAGACTTTGCTATAATATGTGTAATTCTATCTAATGTTAAAGGAGGTAACAATTCCTCTGTGACATCTTCTGTAAAAAAGATCATTTGGATTAAATTTGATTCCAAAATTATTGTAACTAAAAAATTGATAAACATTTACCTCCGGGAAAAATATTTTCTAGGTTAATATCTTCTAATGCTCGTTGAGTTTCTTCAAGAATATGTTGTAACTGGTTTCGATTACGTAGATATCTTCTAAACTCTTGTGGTAATTTACTTACCATGTTTTCAGTCTTATTTTAAAACTTTTGGCACTTTAAAACCCTATTAAAAATAGTTTGTTTTATAAAAAGATTCCTAAATATTCCATTAGTTATTAATGTAATATTTATACTACTAATAGCTTTTTAAACAGATTTCTAAATTATAAATGCTATTTATCTTATTTTATTCACAATAATACATAGTATAAAGTTATTAAAGTAATTATTCCACTAATAACTGTATAATTAAAACTGCAAAGAATGTATTAGATTATAAAATTAAACTACATAATATGCATGAATTACTGTTGTAAATCATTTATATTTAAATATAATATTCCATAACAATAAATTGTTCTTATATTGTAAAACGTAATACATTGTTTTTAAAATGTCATGCAGTTACTGTAAAACTAACCATTAAATAAGTTAGAATGGTAATAGTTCCAATTAGAGAACTATTTATCAATCAAATCTTATTTTTAAACATAATAATGTTCTTTTCCAATATTTTGTCACTCTCCTAATATCAATTTTAATTTCCATTATTAGAGGTACATTACAATTATTGACTAATATGTATGTAAATAATTTATTAGAGAACTCTCACCACAAACGTATCCAAAATATAAATATTAATTAAAAATTTGAACAATTAGTTAATCTAATAACATCACTACTTTAAAAAATTATTTATTTAAAAATGATAAATTCTATACGAGTGCTACACACCCGACACATGATGGAAACTAAGCGCGGCTGTTTTGACTCAAATGTAAACGGTTTATTATAACTGTGTTCGCATTCTGATATTGACTATAAATGACAAGAAAGTACTGAATTGGATGATAAATTGTACGCACCATTTATTGGGATGATACACTACATCAGTATATGCATATGTATCCCCTTTTTATGCGATTAAGAAAACACGGACAAAGAATATAGAATAAACAAGATTCCCCCTATTCCAGAAGATAAAATCCTTAGATACAAATACACAATACTTACGAAGAATTTATGGTTGCAGTTTAGCAGTTTAGCAATTTATGGTTACATTTATACAAACGTTTGTTGTAGTATTTAAAAGTAACTTATCAAATATTGCACAAAAAATAATCTATTACACGGATATATACGTAATTCCTATCAATACTTTATCTATAACACATTTATTCACACAAACATGACAGTTATATACCTAAATACAAAAAAAAAAAGAAAAATCTATTTTGTAATTACACTGTGAATAAATGTTTCTTGATAAAAATCTTTTGTAAACAAATATCCATTAATGAAAATCTATTTATTTATAAATTTACCACTTTATTATTAAATTTTCTGTGCTAATCGATGTAAATTGTGTATTTTATGTATATTAACATAAAATCCGCATGTATAATCTAAATACTAAAACTGCAAAAGGTATCACGTTCCCATGCACATTGCACATATACTTACTCGTCTATATATTCACGATTTGAATATATAATTAATCTTATTAATCTGTATATAATTTCGTCCCTAAAATTTTCTGCAATAAGAATTGGAATATGAGAAGATTGAAAGATTCGTTGCACGATTACCCACGATATTGTGCGTCGTTCGCGAGCAAATATATTGCGTAGCAGCTAATGGGTAAAGAGTGAATGTTAATCCAATAATCACGAGAATAATTATGTTCTATGCAATAAACAACAGGATTAAGAGAAAATACACTAATAGTTTTTATTTTAATTATAATGTATTTTATTATAACCTTGAAAACCATAATCAAGAAATAAATTTTATTCGTCGAATTGTACCCTTTATCTAACCAGTTCCCGCCAAACGATCGCGATCGAAAAGATCCTTCCCAATTTCACTATTACTTTTCTGTTATGACAAGAGAATGATTTATTCATTTTTTTTTCACTTGTATTATAAATTAATTTTTTATTTAAAATATTATTTTACTACTGACACAAAAGTTTGTAATTTGTAATAAAAACCAATTGTAACTGTTTACATTTATGCCCATAAACTACATGTTTCTATGATACACCTATGTCAAAATATTTCTGTTATTATTTGGATTTGAGATTATATTTATGATAAATCTGAAGAAAATGTTAAATTAACAATTATAAATTGAAAGTAGTCATGGAAAAAGACTTTTATGTTAAAATTTATAGTATTTATATAGATAGAGAATTTTCAAGTAGAAGAATTCTATTAAACTTATTACAATAGTTTATAACAATTTTAATTTTTTGTTATTTGATTGCAAATTTATTAACAAATATTTAATTTTACGTATCCTGTTTTATTTATAATGAGAGTTAAGTTGCATATAATTCCTAAATTCATGATTCTAAATTATAGAGGGCCTAATAAAACCTCAGATTTTTCGCGCGAATAATATTTCAGATCATACGATACGATGTCTTATAGTGTATGAAGTCTATGTTATACCATTTGCGTTGTGATAGGTCTATTTTATAGCATTTGCGTCGTGATAGGTCCATTTTATACGTCGTATTCAAAATTATTGCAATGGACAATGGAACAACAATAATCAACGGCTGCAAACATATATTTTGTCAAGAGGACTGATATCAGCGTTGGACGAACAATTTTACAAGGAATTTTGCAAAATCAATACCAGAATCGATGTAAGTACTGAAATAGAACCAATACAAGAATATATATACGTAATATATGAATTACATAGAATCGAACTGATACGCAATTAAAATAGAATCAGTAAGCAACAGATATTTCGAAAGTTACTGGAACCGTAATCGAAATTGAGATTTTCAGAAACTTTGTTCCTTTATAATAGTTATAAGAAATAATGATTCTTTGAAACTATTCCGAAAATTGAAATCAGCAGTATAACTGCATTCAACCATTGATCTTCAGAAATGAATATTAAATTAAATTTAAATATTGATAATTTTTTGATTGTGCTATCGAAAACAATTATTAATGTTGTATTCGATCTATTCCTTTGTTTTCTCTTTTTATTAATCATCACTTAAGTGACTACCGCTGATAAAGTTGCAAACGTCGTTTGTTAGTGTTCTTCCTTCCAGCTGTCGATACTATTTCTGTAACATGAGCTGAAATTCAATTCTGGGTAAGTGATGAATGTATTCACGGATTAAAAGCTTGAGATACAGAAGTTTTTGTAAATATAGACAAAGATATTACCTACCGAGTCTTCCACTTATATTTATGATTTATAAATCTTAAAGATCTATCATAAATAAAAAGGGATATAGATTTTCATTTTGTGAGCTATAATTTTTTCCCGAGTATTCCGACAAATTATCAATCAAATACAAGAATCGTATAAATTTATTATATTGTATTATATCACTCAATTTTCCGTGACGATATTTTGCAAAACGTTTTTGGTATTTATGGTTCTGTTATCAATGTGTTGTATATCGTGTGTGATTTTTTCTACCTTACAGTTTGCCAAATACTTTGGCCAAACTATATGGCTAATTTTGTCTTATAATTTCGTCTTTTTTATTGCTTGAATAAATCTGTTTGAATATTTGACAGTGATCAGACGTAGTTAAGAAATTATGCTGTTACATAATTAGTGATTGATAAGGTAGAACTCTGGTTTGTTGGAAGGAATAACTACAAACAAGGAATTTCGACTGCAAAATGACTCGTATCATAGATGGTAATGCAGTTTAGAAAATAAATGTTGTCTGCATTACCTACGCGAAGTTAACACGAATCCGAAGGCGTGGCGACACTGTAGATGAATCTGAATGTGTGCCATTTTGTAGCTCTGAAGTTGAATATGAAAATTTACGTGGCCGCGTGTGTATCGTTAAAATCATTTACTTTTTCTTGCAGTGTTTGACTGTCCCAGTGATTAACAATTAGTTCGCATGTGCCTGATTCTGCTTCAAGTATTGAAACATTAAATAATCGAAACAAGTAAGTATCTGTTTTCCTAACAACGTATATTTATATTAATGTATTCGTTATGTTTCTCACATGCCAATGTAATAATTATTGTCATTACTTATAGTTATTAATTTCGAGTAAATGATGTACAGTTGCTTTGGATTTTTGCATTGAATGTGTAAATTAGGTTTTATTGGCTTAGGAGTCTTCAGGGCTATGAAGTTCAAGAGATTTATTGTTTCATTAATTTTACCGTTAGGGGTTAGGAATCGCGTAGTATTCGTCGTATCCACCGAGCATACGATTTTCAACATGGCCGATTAGACGAATGTTTATAATATGCGTGGTCGTGTAAAATTCCTATTTCGATTAAAATTTGTTTTGCAGCCAGTTTTAATCTGAAAAATTCGCAAGTGTAATCAGTAATCAAATTTATTAGTTTCTATTGTCTTGGGGAGCGAAATTCTTTTCCGATTTTATGGCGTGGAAAGACGATATAATAAGGAGAGAGCCGCCTCGAGCGAAGCTGCAAGTAACGAGGGAATAAGAATGGCTAGGCAGTCAGGGGTGAGTCTAGAGATGGTACGGGGAGGTGGTTCAGGGTACAAGATTTAGTGGACTCGCTAGTGGCCGCTAACTTTGCAAGGTACGTCTTCTTGAAAATATTATAGCGATGTAATGTGAATGTGAATAATTTTTTTTACGAATACAATTTTTCGTATTTATCACTGAAAATTTTTCTAACAAAGTTAGTCATTTTTCCATATTAAAATTTATTGTGTATGTATGTTTGTACATGTTTATGATAATGCTTACGTTCGTAATCTTTTAACTTTCAACTCTAACTATCGAGTTAGGTTTGGTTTATGCTTCAGAAGAAGGAAACTGTTGACTCAGGAGCATACGTATTGTAATAAAAATAAATATTCCGAGTGTATACCGAGTAGGGTGGTAAAGTATGAGAAAGGAGATAGAAGCTGGAGAGAAGGTGGGGGCTACAATGTCGTTCCCCACGTGTATGTTCCATAACGATATATATAAAAGTCAACATATTTCAGAACAAGTCGTTTTCTATTTTTGTAGATTTCGGGCGAAGAACAACCGGTAAACTCGATGGCGATTGGATTATAGCAGAAGGTAGGTATCGTAACCTCTTAAATTGTATTCGCTTTTATCTTGTTATTGGTTTTATTATCATATTATCATAAAATTTAATATATGTTTCTCATTTTGTATTACAGATATCTTAAATACAAAATGGGCATGAAACAAGGAGCGATGGATATCAAGGTAGATTATTTCTACACAAAAGTGCAAACACAAATCTTATGGTCGTTTCGGATAGTTGAATCCGCAGATCTGGATAATGGATCCCCGGATGTACTCTCAGGGCTCCTGTTCCGTGAGTTTGAGTCTATCTTTATTTCTATCTCTCACGATATCGAAACATTTGTACACTTCGTGCGATGAACAAATTCCGTGTTATATTGAAATGCATTAATGTGCTTTTAAAATAATTCATTCGTTGTATTTTCACAATTCTATTTCGATATATCGCATAGTACGGGCAGGAGTACTGCCTTATTCTGTTTCCATGAAAGTACAATGTATTATGAGTTTGCCCGACAACTTATTTTTTAACATATTCATTCAGTTTTTATTAATGTCATTAACAAACTTCATCATTCACAATTTTTAAGCACATTTACGGAATTTGATACAATATTTACT